AAAAAAAAAAAAAAAAAAAAAAAGAAAAAAAAGAAAAAAGAAATAAACTTGGTTTTTATATTTCAGTGAGCAGATCTTTGGCTTAAACTCTTCTCACTGTTGAAATTCTACTCAGTAAGTGTATCGACTGGGAAATATGCTAATTATTTAATTAACAAGCATGTTCAGCATAATAATGCATTATGGATTAGTTAAAGGTGATGCAGTTGAGTCTAGTCCCTTTTTGTGGAAAAGACCATGTGACTCATTGGCCAAGCCCTCTTTCTGAGCTTTCCTCACCTTGTCTTGTTTTTTCCTTCCAGAGTTTGGAAGTTCCTTGCCTTCACATTGCTGGAATCAACGTCTTGCTCACCTGAGCCGCTCACCCAATGGAGACAAACAGAACTAGGGCCCTTGTGCTGACTAACGTCTGAGTCACAAGGCAGCCAGGAGACTTTGTTTGTGAAAGACCCATTTCCATCACTGTGCTTTTCCCAAACTCCGGAATACACACTCCCCTCTGAACTGTAGTTACAAGCCCAGGGCTCCTGGAGGTTTTCGTGACTTCTCACAAGTGGCCTTATTCTAACTCAGAGATCCCCGGCATTCGGCTGACCCCGAAGTGGCAGGCAGCATGCCTACTCAATCGCTCCTCGTGTACATGGATGGGCCGGAAGTCATTGGCAGCTCTCTCGGCACCCAGATGGAGGTGGATGATGCTGTGTCCATCAAAGGGCCAGCTGTAGTCCCCTTTCGAGCCGCACAGGAGAGGAGCATGACCCCAGCTGAAGGGCACATGCCCCTGGACTGCATGTTCTGCAGCCAGGCCTTTTCCCATGCAGAAGACCTCAATCAACACGTGCTCCTGCAGCACCGGCCCACCCTCTGTGAGCCAGCCGTCCTGCGTGTGGAGGCCGAGTATCTAAGTCCTCTTGATAAGGGTCAGGTGCCGACAGAATCCCCGAAGGAGAAGAACTGCAAAGACAATGAAGAACTGAGCTGTGACGTGTGTGGGCAGACATTCCCAGGGGCCTTCGATGTTGAGAGCCATATGAAGAAACATAAAGACTCCTTCACATACGGGTGCAGCATGTGCGGGAGACGGTTTAAGGAGCCGTGGTTTCTGAAGAACCACATGCGGACACACAATGGCAAATCTGGCACCAGGAGCAAGTTGCAGCAGGGCCTCGAGAGTCCTGTCACCATCAATGAAGTGGTTCAGGCACATGTAGCTGGGAACATCTCCACTCCCTACAAGATCTGCATGGTTTGTGGCTTCCTCTTCCCGAATAAGCAGAGCCTCATTGAGCACAGTAAGGTTCATGCCAAAGAGACCACCTCCAGTGCCAGTAGCACAGCCCCTGATGCCCAACAAGAGGGACCCACATCCCCCAGAGAAGAGCTGCTGCAGTTTTTGAACTTGAGACCCAGATCCCACCCAGAGACTACAGTGAAGCCCATCACCTGTATACCTCAGCTTGACCCGTTCACCACCTACCAGGCATGGCAACTGGCCACCAAAGGAAAAGTGGCCATTGCCCAGGAAGAGGTGAAAGAGTCAGGCCAAGAAGGAAGCACGGACAATGACGATTCATGTTCAGAGAAAGAGGAACTTGGAGAAATTTGGATTGGGGGTAAGACGGAAAGTTCTGCAAAGTCCAAAACAAATAGAAGCAGTTGTCCAGGTCTCTCACAAGACAGAGAGAAACCTAGACATGCCAACAGTGAAGTGCCTTCTGGGGATGGTGACCCCAAGTTGCCTAGCAGCAAGGAGAAGCCCACACACTGCTCTGAGTGCAGTAAAGCCTTCAGGACCTACCACCAGCTTGTCCTGCACTCCAGAGTGCACAAGAAGGACAGGAGGGCTGATGCCCCATCGCCCACCATGTCTGTGGATGGAAGACAGCCTGGGACTTGCTCCCCAGACCTCGCTAGCACGCTGGAAGACAGTGGGGCCGTGGACCGAGAAGGGGGTTCTGAAGATGGGTCTGAGGATGGGCTCCCTGAAGGGCTCCATTTGGGTGAGTACTCTGCTGCCTTGCAGGCAGTGCTACCAGGGAGTGTGGGAACCAGACTGGAATCATCCTTCCGTCTAGTCGTTAGCATCTCGGCCCTTCTTTCCTGTCACTGTTTACTGGGTGGAAGTAAAGGCTGTCCAAATGGTTCTGTAGTTAGTGCACCAGTGGGTAGAGACTGGGAATGCTGCTTGCCTCCTCGTGCACTGGAATGAACGCGTCTAACAGTGACCTGGTGCAGAACATAGGCATTCTGGGACTGACACCTGTTGAAATAAGGAGCGGCGGGGCTGCGTCCCCAACACCCCGGCCGCTTGGCTAGCTTATGCCCGAAATAACAACACACAAACTGTATTCATTTAAAGAACTGCTTGGCCCATGAACTCTAGCCCTTACAGACTAATTCTCGCACCTGGTCTAGCCCATTTCTAAT